CGCACAGTGGCAAATAGCACAAATGGTCTTTAGATACGGTGCGCAACTGCGCACAGTGGCAAATAGCACAAATGGTCTTCAGATACGGTGCGCAACTGCGCATAGTGGCAAATAGCACGAATAGGCCTCAGATACGATGCGCAATTGCGCACAGTGGCAAATAGCACGAATGGGCCTCAGATACAATGCGCAACTGCGCACAGTTATGGTACTTTGGTATGGTGCGCTTTCTGCGCTCAGACATGATACTCTTAAGTATGGTGCGTTCTCTGCGCACTGTTTGAGGAATGCTCAAATATGGTACTGTCGCAGACTTGGTACTTAGACATGGTGCGCCCACGGCACCCAAGATCAGAGCGCAATGTCACACTTAAATTCGAGTGTGCACAGTCGCGGTTGGACCATTATGCAGAGAATCGTCTTTTGATATAGCAAATCAAGGGACTCGAATATCATACTCTATTCAAGTGCCCATTGACACAGCTAATCACTCAGCTTAAGTGCTCATTGGCACAACCAATTATCAAGCCCTGTTTGAGTGCCTCCTATTGGTGCAGCCAAATGCTATGACAAATGCTTGCTGATTCAAAATATGGATCATGTAACCCTCGGCAAATTCAAACCCAGACACAACGAAGTGTAGCACTCTGGATATGGCAGGGTTCACTGCATGACTCAGCATTAATAGTCTTCGTGCTCAGAGCAGTTGAACGCACAACATCAACCCTTAAGTATGGTGAGCAAGCACACACAGTATCAACTGCCCTAGGCACAGTGCGCGTGAGTTCCCAATCTCAACAATTTTCAGGCACGGCGTTTGGGGCACACGGTATCCTCAGCCCTTGAGCACGACAAGCCCAAGTGCTCAGCACCAACTGTCCTCGGGCACAGTGCGTGCAGGCGGTCAAAGGTAGATCAGAACCTTGCTATGAGCCAATGGGCTCGAAGGGGATTACACAGACCCCACACATCCGAGTGAGAAGAAGGAAGAAAGGGGGAGCGAGCAGGGAAGCAGAAAGAAGATGATAGGGGGGGAGATGAGGGAGAAAACAAAGTGCTCCTTGTGAGAATTGAGACCGCCTTACCTCCCCGAGCACCCCCCTTCCGTTTACCTCCTTCTTGCATGTCTTGGTCGTCCCTCCTTCTACTTGCTTTAACGCAGTAGCTTCCGTCCTTCTCCTTCCTCGCTGCCCCGCCAGTCGCTCCGCGTCACCGCGTGTGAGAGATTCTTACTTGCCGTTCTGCCTGCATYGCTGCATTCCGCAAGTAGGCATGCTCTCAATCTGTCTGATCCGTGCCACGTGTACCACGCATGCTGATCTGTCTCTCTTGGGTGACGTGGCCTCTCTTTTATAATGGAGAGGCCAGGTGATCGGGGCTGTGCTGNTCCGTGCCACGTGTACCACGCATGCTGATCTGTCTCTCTTGGGTGACGTGGCCTCTCTTTTATAATGGAGAGGCCAGGTGATCGGGGCTGTGCTGCAGTCCCATGGTCGGGGTTGTGGTCAAACTCTAGACCAGGCCTGTGCTAAAAATAGCAGCTGTCCCGACCTCGGGATATGAACAGTCATTGCTATTTTTAGAA